TATTAAAAAGCAGAGACATCACTTTGCCAACAAAGGTCTGTATAATCAAAGCTGTGGTTTTTCCAGTAGTCATGTTCGGATGTGAGTTGGACCATAAAGAAGGCTGAGTGCCGAAGAATTAATGCTTTCAAATTGTGCTGAGGAAGGCTCTTGAGAATCTCTTGGACTGCAAGGAGATCAAACCAGTCAGTCCTAAAGGAAATCAACCCTGAATATTCATGGGAAGGACTGATGCTGAAGCTGAAGCTCCAATACTTTAGCCATGTCATGCGAAGAGACAACTCATTAGAAAAGACCCTGATGCTGGGAAAGACTGAAGGCAAAAGGAGAAAAGGGCAGCAGAGGATGAGATGGTTAGATAGCATCACCGACTTAATGACATGAATTTGAACAAATTCTGGGAGATAGTGAAGGACAGGGAAGGCCGGCATGCTGCAGTCTATGGGGTCACAGAAAGTTGGACACGGCTTAGTGACTGAATAACACAAGAACAACAAATTAAAGTTGTAAAGTGAAAACTTAGGAACAGCAATAAAAGAAACCCCAGAGTTCCTGGCTACAACAATATAAATGGCTTTGATACAAGCGAGCATCTTCCTACAACTGGAATATAATTACTCTCTGTGGCTGTGATCACATTAGCAGCAAGTAGAGAAGGGATATGGGCTTCCCAGGTGGCACAGTGGTAAAGAATTTGCCTGCCAACGCAGAAGACGCCAGGGTTGCAGCTTCCATTCCTGGCTTGGGAAGATCCTCTGAGGTAGGAAATGGCAACCCAATCCAGTATTCTTGCTTGGAAAATGCCATGGACAGAGGAGACTGGTGGGGCAGTCAGTCCATGTGGTCGCAAAGAGTCTGACATGGCTGAGTAACTGAAGGGGTGCGGACACACAGACACACACACACGGTATACACCAACCCTGCCCTGGCCGGGGTGAGAGGTTGGGCAGGGATGAGAGAACAATTGGACCTGGAGACACACAGACACACACACACAGGGCACACACAGACTCCTCTCCCACGGACTCAACTCTAAAGACAAGCCCAGAAACAAAGCTCCACCGCCAATTATGGGAAAACCTCTGCGGATCTCTGGGCTAAGAACACAGTTACAGAAACGTCATGCCCCAAATCAGCCACAGTCACATCCACATCCCATTCCCACATCCACAATCACTCTCCCATTCTTGGCGTGACAGATCCACAATCTGTCACACAATGACCCACAATCACGGGGCATGATTTAGAATACACAAGCTCACTACACTGACAGAACACTTCCCCCCGTGGTGCGCAAGCACAAAAGTGTACAGCGACAGCCACACACAAATGGCACACCTGAGCACTCAGTAAGTCACGGACGCGCGCAGCTTCAGCATTCCCTCACACACAGTCGCCCAGGGCCACTTAAATGCCCATTCACGGTATCCCAGGTTATCACACAGTTCTGTGGGTACTTGGACCTGTGGCCGTGGCCTCTTGTAGTGCAGCCAAGATGTCGGGGCGTGCCTCGGGGCCCTCTGGGAAATGTAGTTCATTCAGCAAGGAGGTCGAGGCGCAAAGCGTCTGGGACTTGTGGTCCTCAGGGTCGAAATGACAAGCTGAGTCGCTAATCTAGTTCCTTGCAGCTAGATGTTTCCCCAGCCGATCCCGGGGTCCCGTGAGCGTCAGTCCGCGTCCCGCTCCGCCCCGCGGGGGATTCTGGGAGGCGACGTCGCGGGTCTCGGGTCTCTGGGCGGGCTTCCAGAGCCAGGGACGCCGGGAGGTGAGTTGGGCCTGGCTGGCGCGAGAGCCAGAGATCTGGGCCGGGCTTGGGGTGGACCGGCAGGGATCGGGATGGGTACCAGGCAGGCGCCTCTGGGGAGACTGGGTGTCACCGTGTATGGCTGTGTGACTGTGTGTGTGTGACAGTGTGAACTTCTGTGTCACACTGTATGGTTGAACGCCACTGTGACCATCTGTCTCTGGCATAAAACTCAGTCTGTGTTTCTGTGTGACTGTCTCTGCAGGTGTAATTGTGTTATTTGTGTATGGGTTTGTGAGAGACTGCAGGTGTGACATTGTGTGTGTGTGTGTCGCTGTGTGGATGTGTGTGTGTGACTGTTTGACCACTTGTCCCTGTGGATGTAACTGCGTTTGAAGGTGTGGTTATGTACCCATGATCCTCAGTCTGCGCAGGCATAATTTTGTATGAGTAATTGTGGCAGGATGTGTGACCTTGTGTGGTATGTCACTGTCTATGAGATTGTGTGTGACTGTCTCTCTGTTGGAGTAATTGTGTATCATCTCTCTTTGTGTTAATGCCACTGTGTGTGTATGTGACATTATGTTTGCGATTGTGTGGCCATGTTTGTATGAGTATGATTGGGAGAGAATTTGTATGTGTAGGTCAGACCTGTGATTGTGAGACAGAGAAAGATTAAAATTGCTCACCCACCTTCACACAGTTACTAAGTGACAGAACTGGGACTTTAGCCCAGGCTGTTTAGCTCCAGAGTCTTTGCTTTTAATTTTTCAACTCTGTTGATCTTTTCCACATTGTGAGGGTGAAAAATGGGGGCCCTGGGTTCTGAGGGTGTTGGAGAGGATTGTCTGTGGTCTTGGCCCAGGACCTTCTGGACATGGAACTTAATTTGGATCTCTTCCTTCTGTATCCTTGTGAGTCACAGAACCCGGTCTAAAGACATTGTAGTGAGACCATCCTCACATTGGCTGCCTTTGGGGGAGGAAAGCCCAGCCTTCCTGTCCTTAGGCCATCAATTTTGAGATTTTAGGTTTGTCTGTGTCAAAACTCTTCCATGTTTAGTGCTGAGAGAGGCTAATCCATGGCTTTTTTCCTCACATACTAAGTGAATGAAGTTTTTGATTCTGACTTTTTAATAAAGAAAGATGTTCTCATTTCCTTTTCAAATGTGTGTGTAAAATCTAAATGGCAACAAGGGTGGCACTTCTCTGTGCCAGGAGTTGGCTCAGGCATTTTAACAATGAGGAAAGGTTCTGGCAGTTGGATTGATTTGCCCAAGGTCACCTAGCCAGGGAGGAAAGGACTAGAGAGTCATTGTGTGCCTGGGGACTATATAAAGCCCAAACCTTTTCCATCACCTTCTTTCAGAGACTGATGGTTCTTTCAAACCTGAAAAATATTCGTGATGCACAGCTATTTGAAACAGAAATTTAAAAGATGTTTCTTTATGCAGATGCTACTTGGAGCTCCCCGATTCTGAAAAGACTTTGTAGATTTTCTTCTCAGGTTGCAAAGGCTTTTGTGGACAATTTCAGGCTGCATTGCACTAAGGAAATAAATAATTTTCTTGGAGATTGAGTTGACTAGTGCAGAGTAGCCCAGAATTAGGGGGTCGTATATCTTAAATTCTAAGTCAAACACAGCTGTCTTTGTTTTCAGAGTGAAGAAATGTTGGCTCTGAGAAGACAAGGAACTTGTTTCAGGCTGTGCAGTTTCTTATTGGCTTGGTGTTGAAATTTGGCATGTTTACCTCAGGCTGAATTTCTGTGGAGAAATTAAGGTAACATCTTCTACCTCCAAATATGCTTCTCTAAAAAACATATAGCACTGATTTCTCAGGTTATGTTGATTATTTCCCATGTAAACACTCTGGTCTCTTGAAAGAGAATCAGTTTTTTTTTTTAATATTTATTGTTGCTGTTGTACAGTCACTAACTAGTGTCTGACTACTTGCGACCCCATGAGCTGCAGCACACCAGGCTTCCCTGTGTCCTTGACTAACTCCTGAAGTTTGCTCAGACTCATGTCTATTGATTCAGTGATGCCATCCCACCACCTCATCCTCTGTCACCCGTTTCTCCTCCTGCTCTCAATCTTTCCTAGCATCAGTGTCTTTTCCAGTGAGTTGGCTGTTCACATCAGGTAGCCAAAGTCTTGGAGCGTCAGCTTCGGCATCAGTCCTTTCAATGATTATTCAGGGTTGATTTCCTTGCAATCCATTGGACTCTCAGAGTCTTAATATTTATTTTGTTTATTTATTTGGCTGGGCCAAGTTGTAGTTGTGGCATGTGGGATCTAGTTCCCTGACAGAGATCGAACCCAGGCCCCCCTACATTGGAAGTCAGAGTCTTAGCGACTTGACCATCAGGGAAGTCTGGGGGACAAGTTTTTGAGTCACACTGCAGTTTGACTCTTAGGAATTTGAGTAAGCTGTCTAAGCTTTTTGAACCTCAGATTCACTTGATGGTAAAATGGGGATAATAATACCTACCTTTGCAGTTTTGTGAAGATTAAATAAGATAATGACATATACAGTATGTGTAACATTGCTATTTATATTACGGGAGCCACACTGAGGTTTATTTATTTGTTGATCAAATCTGTTTTGAGCACTCGCAGTGGTTCTGGCATTATTCTAGCCCTGGAGATACACAGGGGCTTCCCTGGTGGCTCAGACAGTAAAGAATCTGCCTGCAATGCGGGAGACCTGGGTTCGATCCCTGGGTTGGGAAGATCCCCTGGAGGAGGGCATGGCAACCCACTCCAGCATTCTTGCCTGGAGAATCCCCATGGACAGAGGTGCCTGGCAGGCTGCAGTCCATGGGGTCACAAAGAACTGAGCAACTAAGCAACTGAACAGTTAAGCACAGCACAGAGATACACAGTGAACCCAATAAATCCTGGCTGTCTTAAATCTTGTACTATTATTTGGGAAGACAACAGAAGAAAAAGAAAGTAACATGTCCAGTAATGTTAAATGCTAAGAAGAAAAAGAAATCAAGATAAGGAAAAATAGTAACTGGGAAGGAGATTCTTTTTAGGTAAAATAGGGAGTTCCCTCCAATGTGATGCACAGACTGGTTCATATAAGGAAACTAGGGACCATAAAGGGGCAGAAAACCTCTCAGAAAACCTCTCTGTGAGTCTCAGATCAGCAGCATAGGGCTGCTGTTCCATTTTTGTTGTTGTTGTTCTTATAACTCCCCCTTTTCAGGACTTTTTTCTCCAAAAGAGAAAATTGAAGAAGGAAGGAAGAATGGCTGTTGGACTGTGTAAAGCCATGTCCCAGGTAAGTTGATGTTTTCACTTTGTTTTCAGAAATTCCATGTCATTTTTTAGGACTTTGGAGAGTCCCAGGTGGTCCGGTGAGCCCTCTCTTCACTTCTCCCTCTCCACTGTTTGTTCAGATAATCCTTCTACAAAACATTTAGTATCTTTTTTTTTTTTAACTCAGTGTTGTGCTGAAATGTATAATGGAACAGAACATTTCATCTTTAGATGGATTGTGATTTGTTGTGTTGGAATGAAAGGATGGAGTGTGATTATCAAGTGCCCCTTTAACTAGGGAGGTCAAGGATTTTTTTGTTGTTGTTGTTTGGGGTTTGTTTTCTTTTTTTTTGGAAGTGACATTTAAGCAAAGAGAAACCTCAGTGAACATAGGGAGGAAGTTTTGTTGAGATCTGGGAAAGAGCTTTAAAAGTAGAAGGTGCGATGGTGTGGGGCAGGAGGGAAGTCCCAAGAGGGAGGAGATATATGTATACCAATAGCTGATTCACTTCATTGTACAGCAGAAACTAAAAAAGTATTGTAAAGCAATTAAATTCAATTTAAAAAAGACAAAAAATGGTAGAAGAATTAGCAAGTACAAAGTTACTGTGGTGGGAGCATGTTTGATGTATTTCAGGGATAGCAATAAGCCAGTATCATCAGAGAAGAATGTGCACTGTGAGATTAGGGAAATAGCTGGGGACCAAATTAAGCAGGCTCCTGAAAGTCATGACCAGAGCTTTGATTTTTGTTCTAAGGGTAAAGGACAACCACTAGAGTGTTGGTGATATGATCTGATTTATATTTTAAAAGGAAGGAAAATCAAAAGCAATGAAGTAAGAGTGGAAGCCTGGATCACGGTGGTGGCATTGGAGCTTGTGAGATTCTGGGTATCTATTGGAGATAGGAAATCTATCTGGGCAATTGTGTATATGGTCATGCTATTTACTGAGATGGGAACATGGGCTGGGATGAGATAAGAATCAAGATTTGAGTTCCAGATAAATGAGAGAGACTTGTTAGATATCCAAGTGGAGTGTTGGTTATATATCTAGAGTTTAGGACTGGAGATGTGAATTTGAGAGTCATTAATGTATTTAATGTATTTAAGGGCTTTCCCAGTGGCTCATTGGTATAAGAATCCACCTGCAATGCAGAGAGACACAGGAGAAGATCCCTTGGAGGAGGGCATGGCAACCGATTCCAGTATTCTTGCTGGGAAAATCCCATGGACAGAGGAGCCTAGCAGGCTATACAGTCCATGAGGTCACGGAGTTGGACATGACTGAACTGACTGAACACAGTGTAGTTAAAGCTATGGGACAGGTTGAGATTATCTTGAGGGTAGGTTGTTGTGAATATAGGTAGGAAAGAGGTCTAGGGAGTGAGCTTAGGGCATTCAAAGACTGACAAAAGGCTGAGAAGAAGAGGAGGAACCAGCAAAAGAGACTGAGAAGGACTGATGTAGAAGGAAACCCAAAAGAGTATGTGGGTCCTGGGAGTCAAGAGGAGAAAGCATTTCAAAGAGGAGATGATCAACTGGGTTAAATTCTTGTGGTAGAGATGGAGGAAGATGCTTGGACCGTTTGGAAGTACTTGATAAACAAAAAATTTTTTCTGTTTTTTTTGTCCATAACATATAGTATATGGGATCTCAGTTCTTTGACCAGGGATTAAACTCACACCCCCTGCACTGGAAACATGTAGTCTTAACCACTGCACTGTTCGGAAAGTCTAAAGAATTCTTTTTTCTCTTTTTTTTAATTTCAGGGTTTGGTGACCTTCAGGGATGTAGCTCTGAATTTTTCCCAAGAGGAATGGGAATGGCTGGACTCATCTCAGAAGGATTTGTACAGAGATGTCATGTTGGAGAACTACAGGAACTTGGTATGGCTTGGTAAGGATGTATACCCCCATAATTCAAATCTTTCCTATGAGGTGTATTAGTTTTCTCCTTTGGGAATATCTAGGGCATCTGAAATGCTTAGCTGGATTTCTGCTTCTTGTTCCCAGGAAATTATTCGAAGTATTTTCACAGAGTTATAAATGTAGTTCCTTTTGCTACTGAATGATGGTTTGGGATAGCAACATGAGTATGTCGTGGGAATTTTTAAAATTGCAAATCATGGTGTCCCATTATAGGCCTACAGTATCTGGGAATAGCCCCAATAGTGTGGTTTTAATGAGTCCTCCAAATGGTTCTGATGCTCATTAATATTTGAGAACCATTGTGATTTCTGATTCGGTAGGGTCAGGGTTGGGGCAGCCTAAGAATTTGCATTTGTTTGGTTTCGAGACAATGGTTCTTTTCTGCTCTAATACTTTAAGAATTGCTGCTATGACAGAAGCTTTGTCTTTCTCATCCTCCTTACAAGCTTCTTTTTATTCTCTGGCCCTCTCTCTAATATCCTTTCTTGCCTAGTGACCAAGGGATTGAGTCACTGGAACAGCAATAGCAAGTGGATTTGTTTATCTATCTGTCATTCTCTTGCTTGTTCTCATTTTTCTTCCCCTGTAAATAGGACTCTCCATTTCTAAGCCCAACATGATCTCCTTATTGGAACAAGGGAAGGAACCTTGGATGGTGGAGAGAGAGATGTCGGATGGTCAACATGCAGGTGAGTGACAGGGGACTGGGCAGGGAGGGCTGTTGTAAGGTGGCAGCCAATGTGGTCATGAAAAGACTGCCCTGCTCTTGAGGAGGCTGCCCTGGGCATCAGGGGGTTGTTCCTGCTCTATTTCTGTCAAGTTATACTCTCAAGGATGTGCGCATGTGTGGTAAGTCACTTCAGTCATGTCCGATTCTTTGTGACCCTGTGGACTGTAGCCTGCCAGGCTCATCTGTCCATGGGATTCTCCAAGCAAGAATTCTGGAGTGGGTTGACATGCTCTCCTCCAGGGGATCTTCCCCACCCAGGAATCAAACCCATGTCTCTTGCATTTCAGGTGGATTCTTTACCACTGAGCCACTGGCGACCCCCTACCTCTACCTAAACCCTGAATCTTCTTCCTTTACACTTCTTCTTTCCCCTTTATGGACAGAATTATATTCATTTTTATATTCATTTTTTTTCACTTCTAGATTTCTTTATAGAGTTTTTATCAAAGTTACACATGCACATTAGTTGAAGAGACAAGGATTCGCATCTAAGTATCCACTTACATGCAGATTTTTTCAATAAATACTACACAATTTGAAATTGGTTGAATCCATAGATGCTAAACTGCAGATTTGGAGGGCTGACTGTAAAGTTATGCCCCTAGCCCCTGCATTGTTCATGGGTCAGCTGTATAGGAAATCACTCCATATTAGCTCTTGGAAAGCTTCTTCATTTTTCTAATGGCTGCAGAATACCCCATTATGTGGATATTATGGTAATTTATTCAATACTATCTAGTATGTAGACATTTAGGATGTTTGCAGTAGTTTACAATTACAAACAATGCTGCAATAACTAACCTTGTACATATGTATTTTCCTGTTGTTGAAGTGTTATTTTCAGGGTTGTTTCTTAGATATAAGATTGCTAAGTAAGTGGATATGTAGTATTAGGAATTGCCAAATTCCTCCCCCAAAAAGTTGTACCAGCTTGCTTTCTGTATTAGTTTCTTATGGCTTCTGTAACAAATTACCATAAATTTGGTGGCTGAAAACAACACAGATTTATTATATTTTAGCTCTGGAGGTCAGAAGTTGAAAATGAATCTTGCAGGGCTACAATCAAAACATTAGCAGCCTGCTTTCCTTCTGAAGGCCCTTGGGTAGAATCTGTTTCTTGCCTTTTTTATGCTTTTTTTAGGGCCTTTACCCATCTTTTTATTTTCAACTGTGTAAAATCACTTTGATTTAAACGTGGGGTTTACAGGCAGTATAGAATTGAGTTTTACTTTGGGAACCAGTCTGGATATCATTTCAATTTAATAAGTGAAAGTCCAGCTACATTTTTGATATGTTTAGGCTTAATTCTGTGTATTATTTTATATTTTCTGATTTTTACAGTTTTTAAAAAAGACTTTAACTTGTCTGTTTTCCTAGCCTTTTTTTGGTCATGTAATACTGTAGTTTTTATAATAATTAGATTTTTCTTTTGATCTGGTGTTTACCTTCTTTTGACAGTGTTTAAAGAAAAACATAAAGAGACCTTCATGTTTCTTTAAACAGTGTTTATTCCTTCTATTACTTGATTGGTCAGCTTTAAAAATTAGCCTTTGATTTTTTTTTTTTACATTTTACAGATGAAAAAGGTTAGCTATCCTTCCTTCCTAAAAGGCTTCTTTGATAGCTCAATTGGTAAAGAAGCTGCCTGCAATGCAGGAGACCCTAGTTTGATTCCTAGGTCTGGAAGATCCACTGGAGAAGGGATAGGCTACCCGTTCTAGTATTCTTGGGCTTCTGTTGTGGCTCAGCTGGTAAAGAATCTGCCTGCAATGCAGGAGACCCTGGCTTGATCCCTGGGTTGGGAAGATACCCTGGAGAAGGGAAAGGGTACCGATTCCAGTATTCTGGCCTGGAGAATTCCGTGGACTATATAGTCCATGGGGTCGCAAAGAGTTGGACATGACTGAGCAGCTTTCACTTTACAGATGAGTCAAAAAGTAGCCTTATTATATTACTCACCTTCTCTTCCCAAATTTTGTTAGTTGTATGCTTTTTACATTGTCCAGGCATATTATATTTACATGTTCTGGTGGCTCAGATGGTAAAGAATCTGCTGGCAGTGCAGAAGATCCAGGTTCAATCCCTGGGTCAGGAAGATCCCCTGAAGAAGGAAATAGCAACCCACTCTAGGATTCTTGCCTGGAGAATTCCATGGGCAGAGGAGCCTGGCAGTTTACAGTCCATGGGGTCTCAAAGAGTCAAAAATGACTGAGCAACTAACACTTGCACTTTCTTTCACTTATTTTTCTGTCAAATTTATTCTAACTTTTCCTTTTGTTTTATTTCTGTAGCTGAATATATTTAGTGTTTTCCACTAGGTTCTTTTGTTGAAGTTTCTCAGGATATCTCTTGATTGACTGAAATCTGTTCTTTAGCAATTTCCTCAAAAAGAGTTCATGCAAATGATGTCCCCTGAGCTCTACCTTGTTCATAGTTGACCATTCTTTTCTTAAGTTTCTTTTAGTGTACTGGTATTGAATGTTGTTACAAAGAATCCTGATGTCAGCTTGATATTTTCCCTTTTGTATAAGTACCTTTATATTTTGTTCTGATCTCTTAGAAGTTTCTATCATTTTAAAGTCATTTTAGTGGGGCATGTTTCAGTCTTGACAATTTTGGGTCACTTTTTCCTAGTAGGATATTCTCTCTCAGGATGGAGATTTGAGTTTTTATTTCAGGAAGTATTTTTTTTTATTGATGAATTAAAAAACATGAAAGTATAGAGAATAATATAATAATATAGTAAAGGGTTTCCTACTGATGAACAGTTTTTGTATTTCTCAGTTGCTTACTTGGTTATGTGTATTATTCATTTAATATACTACCTGATTCAATTTTTGGTATTTAAGAATCTTGCCTTTTATCAGAGACTGGTCTGATATAAGATCAGTGAAATAGGTCAGTGTAACAATAAAGAAATTTTAAAAATACACCCATGTATATATGAGAATTTGATATTTGATAAAAATAGCTTTTCAAATTAGTGGTACAAAAAGATTTTTGTAAAAGTTATGGATAATATTTGCATAATATTGGATTTTGGAAAAATCTTTCTTAAAATGACTGCAAAGCCAGACTATAATGAAAAGACTGGGAGATTTGAGTTCAAACTTTATCAGAAGCATTATAAATGAAGATGACATGTGACAATAAAAAGTGATGATTTGAGGGAGAAAAATACTTATAAAGCCTTACCACCTTATTTTTAATGACTTCTATAAACCACTTAAAAGAAGATGCCAGTATAATTATTATTTTTTTTATATTAAACTTTTATTTTATTTTTCATTTATTTTTATTAGTTGGAGGCTAATTACTTTACAATATTGTAGTTGTTTTTGCCATACATTGACATGAATCAGCCATGGATTTACATGTGTTCCCCATCCTGATCCCCCCTCCCACCTCCCTCCCCATCCCATCCCTCTGGGTCTTCCCAGTGCACCAGCCCTGAGCACTTGTCTCATGCATCCAACCTGGGCTGGTGATCTGTTTCACCCTTGATAGTATACTTGTTTCAATGCTATTCTCCAGTATAATTAAAATATATGCAAAAATATATAGAAGGTACAAAAATGTATATGAAAATGCTCAATTTTCAGAGACTTGCAAATTAACACAATAATGAGGTACTCTACTTGTAGGGGCAAAGATTTTTAGAATGATGTTAGCCAGTGTGAATCAGTTTGAAGACATGTATTTCATGTTGCTGACAGGAATGTAAATTGATTTTTAAAAAAAAAGTCAGAACCACTACTTTCTCCCCTCTTTCCCTCAAGTAAATTCTTTAATTCCTTCTATAATGATTTTCTTTCTCCTTGAAAAGGTGAAAAGGAGACATTTGCTTTCTTGATTTTTTTCAGACTGGGAGTCTTGGTATGAGATCAAGGCATTATCTCCAAAGTGGTACACTGATGAAGAGGAAATATCGCAGGGGGTGATAACAAAAAGACTTACAAGTTATAGCCTCGAATGCTCCAGTTTCAGAGAAGCCTGGAAATATGAGGCTGAATTTGAACAGCATCAAGGAAATCAGGAGAGGCATTTCAGACAAGTGGCAACTCTTAAGGAAATCTCTGCTGTGAAAAGAGACAATGAATATAATCATTCTGAGAGAAACATTCTCTTGAAGTCAGTACTTGTAACACAACAGAGAGTTCCCCCAGTAGAGCCAGTACATAAATTTGGTATTTTTAACAAAATGTTCCCTCCAAATTCAGTTCTAATTGAACATAAAAGACTGTGTGCCGAGAAGGAATCTTTGATAGGCAATGAATGTGAAGAATTCAACCAGAGCACATACCTTAGTAAAGATGTAGAAATTTCTCCTGGGGAGAAATCTTATGAAAGTAATGATTTTTCAAAACTCTTAAGTTTCCACTCATTACTTAGTCAACATCAAGCAACTCATTTTGGAAAATCACCCCATGGATATGATGAGTATGGCGATGCCTTTAACTGTTACTCGTATTTTACTCAACCTCAGAGAATTCACAGTAGAGAGAAACCATATGCATGCAATGACTGTGGCAAGGGCTTCAGCCATGACTTTTTTCTCAGTGAGCATCAGAGAACTCATATTGGGGAGAAACCATATGAATGTAAGGAATGTAACAAAGCTTTCCGACAGAGTGCACACCTTGCTCAACATCAGAGAATCCACACTGGAGAGAAACCCTTTGCATGCAATGAATGTGGGAAGGCCTTTAGCCGTTATGCCTTCCTTGTTGAACATCAGAGAATTCACACAGGAGAGAAACCATATGAATGTAAGGAATGTAACAAAGCCTTCAGACAGAGTGCACACCTTAATCAACATCAGAGAATTCACACTGGAGAGAAACCCTATGAATGTAATCAATGTGGAAAAGCCTTCAGCAGACGCATAGCCCTTACTCTGCATCAGAGAATTCATACAGGAGAAAAACCCTTTAAATGTAACGAATGTGGGAAGACCTTTGGCTATCGCTCACACCTTAATCAACATCAGAGAATTCACACCGGTGAAAAGCCCTATGAGTGCATCAAATGTGGGAAGTTTTTTAGGACTGACTCACAACTTAATCGACATCATAGAATTCATACTGGAGAGAGGCCTTTTGAATGCAGTAAATGTGGGAAAGCCTTCAGTGATGCTTTAGTTCTAATTCATCATAAAAGAAGTCATGCAGGAGAGAAACCCTATGAATGTAACAAATGTGGGAAGGCCTTCAGTTGTGGCTCATACCTTAATCAACATCAGAGAATTCATACTGGAGAGAAACCCTATGAATGCAATGAGTGTGGGAAGGCTTTCCATCAGGTCTTGTCCCTTAGGCTACACCAGAGAATTCATGCCGGAGAAAAACCCTATAACTGTAATGAATGTGGGAACAATTTTAGCCGTGCTTCAACCCTTAGGCGACATCAGAAAATTCATAATAGAAAAACTCTCTGATTATGTGTAATAAGAAAACATGTAGTCACCACTTGGTCTTTATTAAATAAATATCAAATGAATTCTTCAGTTAGTAATTCTACTAATATGAATGTAGTAAATATGGAAAAGTCTCCAGTTCACAAGCATCCCTTATTTGAAATAACCTGAGTAGTAGCCATCTATTACTTTTGGATCTGTTGTATGCCGCATTTGAGACTTAACTCATCCTCAGTGCATATCATTCTGATGAAATTATTTAATTAGGGAGAGCAGTGATCTATTATTTTCCTCAACCTAACTAGAAATGAGGGGTTTTCAGATGCCCTGTCTAGACCAGTAGAGCCCTAGGAAGATACTGTTATGGGTAATGAGAAAAGATCTTTTCTTTCCGTGCACCTCCCCCCTACTGGAATTGCAAATGTCAAGGATTTGATAAAAACTCACCAGTAGCCTTTCTGTTACCACAACAACATCATCATATTTCTGTCTATTATCTCCAATCCCAAGATAAACCCAATACAAAGGAATTGGAGATAATAGACAGAAATATGAAGAGTTGTTTGATCTGGATCCAGTCATGTCTGAAACCTACACCATCTTTGACATTTTCATTTTTGTGATCCAATAAATTTTCTCTTTTTTTGCTTCAGTTAATTTGATTTGAGTTTTTGCCTCTTGGAATTAGAGTCCTAACATGTATGTCCCATGTTTGCTATACATGTGAAAAGGCCTTAAATCTTTTATATGGCATAATTATTTATCCTGAGGAGAAACCTCATAACAAGTAAATGAAAGTTAAATACACATCCTTCGTAAAGCTGAAAGAATTGTTATGTTTTGTTGATAAAAAACTAGTATTTGTTTGTTTCACACTAATAATTTTTAAAAATTCATGTAATAAAACTTATTACCAGGCTTTCTCCTAGGTAATTAAAATCATTTGTGGCAGGGACTTGCTATAGACCTTGAAAGGAGTATTGGGGGACTTCCCTGGTGGTCCAGTGGTTGAGAGTCCACTTTCTAATACAGAGAACGTGTGTTTGATCCCTAGTTGAGGAACTAAGATCCCACATGCCGTGAGACAACTAAGTCAGCATACCTCAACTGGAGAGCCTGTATGCTGCAACTATGAAACCCATGCCTCTCGAGCCTGTGCACCACAACGAAAGATCCTGCATGTCACAATGAAAATTAAAAAAAATTTTTTTTAAATTTTTGGCTATATTGGGTCTTAATTGCTATGTGAGGGCTTTCTCTAGTTGCAGTGAGTGGGGGCTACACTTTGTTGAGGTGCTTGGGCTTATTGTGATGGCCTCTCTTATTGCCAAGCACAGGCTCTAGTTGTGTGGGCTTCAGTAGTTGTGGCTCACAGGCTCAGTAGTTGGGGCACAGGGGCTTAGTCACTCTGAGGCATGTGGAATCTTCTTGGAGCAGGGATGGAACCCATGTCCCCTGCATTGGCAGGTGGATTCACTGTTGTTGTTTTTGGAGAACTTTTATCCACTGCACCAGCAAGGAACTCCAATGAAATGTTTTTAAAAAATAAAGATTAGCCAGCTAAGAGAACAGTGGATCTTTCAGTTTAATGAATGTCTCTTCATCTTACAGGGATTATTTGATTTTCTACTTTCAGCCTGGATTTAAACATTATATGATAGAATATAATAAGATAGAATTGTAAATGAAGTCATCTTTTGTAGGTGGGTTGTAAACTTGGTTTAAGAAGCTTATGGGTAACTTGTTTGAAACTGGAGGTATTAGGTAAGACATTGCTGGCGGAAAGAATGAGGCATTTTCAACTAATGGTTAAAGTAAAGCAGTTGGAGCCTAAAATTTTTAGAGTGTGAATCATTTCTATTTAGAGTAACGAGGAACAGAAAGGTGTGGGGAATATATTCCTGTTTTATCTGAGTGGATATATGAAAGTAAACTTTGATATGGAGACCTTGCCACTTTAAACAGTTAGAACCAGTTAGAATCTTGGGCATTGTCTGGAGAGATCTATAAAAATAGATCAGGAAAATGAATTATGAAGAAGTGAGAGATTCACATGTGTATGTATGTGCATGGAGTGAAACAACTATTAATGCAATAATTTAATAGTCAAATTATATAATCAGTTCGGTTCAGTTTAGTCACTCAGTCGTGTCCAACTCTTTGCGACCCCATGAACCATAGCACACCAGGCCTCCCTGCCATCACCAACTCCCAGAGTCCACCCAAACCCATGCCCATTGTGTCGATGATACCATCTAACCATCTCATCCTCTGTCGTCCCCTTCTCCTCCTGCCCTCAATCTTTCCCAGCATCAGGGTCTTTTCAAATGTCAGCTCTTTGCATCAGGTGGCCAAAGTTTTGGAGTTTCAGCTTCAACATCAGTCCCTTCAATGAACCCCCAGGACTGATCTCCTTTAGGATGGACTGGTTGGATCTCCTTGCAGTCCAAGGGACTCTCAAGAGTCTTCTCCACCACCACAGTTGAAAAGCATCAATTCTTTGGCTCTCAGCTTTCTTTATGGTCCAACTCTCACATCCATACTGACTACTAGAAAAACCATAGCCTTGACTAGACAGACCTTTGTTGGCAAAGTAATGTCTCTTCTTTTTAATATGCTGTCTAAGTTGGTCATAACTTTCCTTCCAAGGAGCAAGCGTCTTTTAATTTCATGGCTGCAATCACCATCCGCAGTGCTTTTGGAGCCCAGAAAAATAAAGTCTCTCATTGTTTCCCCATCTAATTGCCATGAAGTGATGGGACTGGATGCCATGATCTTAGTTTTCTGAATGTTGAGCTTTAAGCCAACTTTTTCACTCTCCTCTTTCACTTTCATCAAGAGGCTCTTTAGTTCCTCTTCACTTTCTGCCATAGGGGTGGTGTCATCTGCATATCTGAGCTTATTGATATTTCTCCTGGCAATCTTGATTCCAGCTTGTGCTTCCTCCAGCCCAGCGTTTCTCATGATGAACTCTGCATGTAAGTTAAATAAGCAGGGTGACAATATACAGCCTTGATGTATTCCTTTTCTTATTTGGAACCAGTCTTTTGTTCCATGTCCAGTTCTAACTGTTGCTTCCTGACCTGCATACAAGTTTCTCAAGAGACAGGCAAGATGGTCTGGTATTCCCATCTCTTTCAGAATTTTCCACAGTTTATTGTGATCCATACAGTCAAAGGCTTTGGCATAGTCAATAAAGCAGAAATAGATTACAATTATATATATTATATATATTATAATCTACTTCTGCTTTATATTATATATTATATATAATTATATATGATAATACTTATATATAATAAAAATTTGAAAATTATTTTTCTTAAAGTGAAAGTGAAGTTGCTCAGTCATGTCCGATTCTTTGCAACCCTATGGACTGTAACCCACCAGGCTCCTCCGTCCAAAGGATTTTCCAGGCAAGGATACTGGAGTGGGTTGCCATTGTCTTTTCCAGGGGATCTTCCTGACCCAGGAATCGGACTCAAGTCTCCCACATTGCAGGCAGTCTCTTTACCGTCTGAGCAAGACAAATTCCCTCTGAACAACTTAAGAGATTTAGTATGATTGAATACTTCAAACCTAGAACACAAACAAATGTAATGGTTTTAAAACACTCAAACTTGCATTATATCTAATCTAAAATATAATGTTGTAAGCCAAATTCACGTCATCATTCCTTTATTCTCATTTTCTGGAGATATAGGAATATTTATTTTAATACTTTTTAAGGATTAAGTTATAACTTATTCCAAAAAAGCTCCCCAGGGTTACTCTACACTTAGGCCTAAAGAAAAAAAAAAAGATTACTCAGACCAGTGATGAATTCGCTGATTTTTGATCTAAGTATGGTACCGGATTTCTTCCTCCAAGCTGCTATCAATCCAAGCCAGTGATTCTGTTTTTACAGTTAAACTTCACTTGTTGTTTATAATATTTCTTTGGCTGAGCTGGGTCTTAAGTTGCAGCATGCGGGATCTTCAGTCTTCATTGTGGCATACAAATCCTTAGTTGCAGCTTGTGGGATCTAGTTCCCTGACCAGGGATTTAACCTGGTGCCCTGCATTGAGAGTGTGTCATCTTAGCCACTGGACCACCAGGGGAGTCCAGTTTAAACTTCACTTGCAATGCTGATAAAATCTTTTACACCCATGCCTGTAGCACAGGTGTTTTTACTTTACACTCTGATATTGTTCCTCATAAATGAGGTACTAAATTTTGTTTATCTGCAACTATACAACCCATTGTCTTACTGTGATATATTGGCTTGATCTTTATTAAAAACTCATGCCTTACTAGTAGTTTGTAGATGTTAGGACCATCTAGAGATTTCCTATCCTAAGAAGATGAGAGTTTGAGTGGCTGTTAATTGTCTTTAGGACATGAACTAATTCATTTAGGGCACACTGATTAAACCTTTTCCACTTGGTTGAGTGTGATCAGTGGCAATGAACTTTTGGATTTCCTTTTTAATCTGGTTTTTGTGCTGAAAATCTCTGCTCTGTTATAGTTTATGCAATTTTTGCTTATCATGTATAAGATTTTCTTTACTTGCTCTTGATTAAGCAGAAGATTTGTGTTTGTGTTTATGTGTGTGTGATTTAAAATTTTTGTATCAAGTGCCTACTGTGTGCCAGACTTTGTTCTAATCCAGGCTTTAGAAATAACAGTTTTGTGTGTTTAACAGAATTAAACAGACAGAAATCCTTGCCTCATAGAGCTAATTTCTAGTGAAGAAGATAGACATTAAAAAAAAAATTAGGAAGTCTTATACCATGTAAGAGAGTAAATTCTAAGGAGAAAAAGATGAAGAGCTGGGTGACCAGGTTGACATTTTATATTGTGCAACTGAAGAAGGCTTTAAAAAAAAAAATTGGTTGAGTTGAGTCTTAGCTGAGACATTCAGTATCTTCATTGTTTCATGCGGATCACCTGAGGCACGTAGGTTTAATTGCCCCACATCATGTGGGATCTTAGTTCCCCCAGCAAGGATGGAACCCACACCCCCAGCAAGGATGGAACCC